AAAAGAATCAGAAGTGTCCACCGCACAAGGACACCTATTACTCTCTCCTCGGACGCTGTCGTCGACCTTGCTCGGTAAGCCCAACGCCTCCTGATTCCGTTTATAACATTGCATGCATTTTTCTTTTTTCTCCTCAGACCCATGTTCGACCCTTAAAAAGAAGTTTGAGATTTGAATTATGATATTTACGAATGTGTCCGACCTTTATGCATGCGTATAAATCCATGTAAGACATCCTTCATACAAATAGGATGATTAATAGTTAAAGTGTTATGGTTCATACAAATAGGATGATTAATAATTAAAGTGTTATGGTTCATAAAAATAGGATGATTTATAATTAAAGTGTTACGGTTCAATAGAATTTTCTTTTTCAAACAGCGGTGATCCTACGTTGTACGAGCCATACTGGAAGAAGATGGGTGATAGGTCTAAAATGGTGATTTCAGGAGATGAATTGATGAGCTACTTCAGCAATTCAGTAATCTGTGTTGGTTTTCGATGCCGGAGCTCGACCGTGCCATTCGGAGGCTGCACCATATCGTCGGGAACGCCGTAGTCGATGATGATCGATTCATCATCGTCGGAAATGGCTCGACACAGATCTTCCATGCTGTTCTCTACGCCCTCTCATCCCTGATCGGCCCAAACCGATTAGCGTGGTCGCTGCCGCCCCTTTCTACTCGGTGAGCCTCTCACACTAGTAGTTTCCTAAATTTTTAAATTCTCGTATAATTTGAGACTGAGAACAGAATAACCTTCTATTGCAGTCGTATCCAATGGAGACGGAGTTCCTCCAATCGAGGCTATATAAATGGTCAGGAGACGCGAACCGCTTCGATGAAGACGAAGCTTACATCGAGGTGGTGACTTCACCGAACAACCCCGACGGCTCGATTCGAGGAACCGTGGTGAACCTTGAAGGTGGTAAATCTATTCATGACCTAGCCTACTATTGGCCTCAGTACACGCCCATAACACATAAAGCTGATCACGATGTTATGCTTTTCACTTTCTCCAAAGCCACCGGACATGCCGGTTCTCGGATGGGTAAAAATTTTCTGCCATGAATCACACTGGACCTACTTTAATTAAGTCTAAGTCGAAATTTTCTTCATTTACAAAACTCAAACTCGAACTCAAAACCGTATTTATGTAGTTGGGCTATCGTTAAGGATAAAGCAATCGCCTCCAAGATGGTGACATTCATAGAGGTGAGCAGCATCGGTGTATCCAAAGAATCCCAGCTTCGTGCCGCCACTATTCTCGGAGTCGTCGCCGACGACTGCCAGAACCCCGAGCTCGAAGAAGTAACTTCTTCGAACACGGGCGGGGCCTCATGTCCGACAGATGGGAAAGGCTCCGTGAAGTGGTGATGAAAAGCAATGGAGCTTTCAGCTTGCCCGAGTACCCACAAGGTTACTGCAAATTCACCGGCGAATACACCAATTCAAACCCCGGTATAAATGCCTTGAATCATCACTTTGCTTATTAATTATCTAATTCCGTTACACAAAATCATGTGTCCGTTTCTAACGATATTCGATGATTCGATCTTATTTTTCTTTTCATGGTGCAGCTTTTGCATGGTTGAGGTGCAAGGAGGGATTGAAGTGTGAGGATGTGTTGAGAGAAGAGTGTGGAATAATGACAAGGGGAGGGACGAGTTTTGGGGTTGTAGCGACCTACGCAAGGGTCAGCATGCTTGTTCTGACTCTGAGTTTAACTCCATGCTTGGAAGGTTATCGTCTGCTTTCAGGAACCCTAAATGGGAATTAGGGTTTATATGGGATGGACTCCACATGAGTAAATAATTATTACTACTACGGTGAAAATAATGTGATGTAATATAATTATCGTTTTTCGAATGATGAGTTAGGTCAAAAAATTTGTAGGTATATATTTGTATGAAATGAAATTATTATGGGTAAACTATGAGGATAGTCCCTATGTTTATGGTTTGACCGACTTTGGTCACCGAAAAACAATTAAGGGGAAATGGTCACTAACGCCATCGGTCCATCTGATTAAGTCCCTAATTTATCAGTCCGTCCGATTTCAGTCCCTAACAGTATCAATTCGTTCGATTTTAGTCCCTTAGTCATGTTAGTAACTTCAGCAAAAGGGACTTAAAATAAAATGGGTTAAACAAAACTAATAACATAAGGACTTAAACCGGACGGACCGATAACATAAGGTATTATTTCCCCTTTTTTTATCAAAGTCGATCAGACCGATAACAAAAGGGATGATAGGCATAGTTTACCCAATTATTATTTGTACCCACAAAGCTTGTTTAAATTACATCGTCTCAATAATTTTTATTAAATAAAATTTAAATACTTTTAAAAATCTTGTTAATGTTGAAATCATATAATTATGTTTTGTCCCTTATGAAAACGTCTTCCTCTTTTAGACGAGATTTGTACGAATTAAATTATCTTAGTAGTAAATGGATAATTGTTATTTTTAAAAGTTCTAAATTGAAGACCTGTGATTATAAAATATTTAAATGTTCGTTGTCAAACTGTTAAATATCTTTAAAACAAATTTGTATCCACTTAGATTATTAAAAAAAAAATGAAATCCCAAGTTCTAACACTAATTAACGAGCTTCACTACTTTATCCATTTCTAAAAAGGAACATTGGTAGTTGTTTGAAATAGTAACAACTTTTTTTTATGATGCCATTTCTTTATTATTTTATCCCTAGTATTTTTTAGGGTAAATTACGTAATAAGTACATAAATTATAATTTGATATATTTTAGTATCTAAATATTCGAATCTTTTCAAATAACGTTAAATTTTGAACGATGTATAAAAATGAAATAAAACTAAAGTTTTTAACAACATGTGCTAAAATAAAACAAAATTAAATTTTAAATATGATTTTTAAAAAAATTAAAAGTTTAAATACTAAAATAAACCAAACTAATAATTTAAGTATTAACATGTAGTTTATTCAACTTTTTAAGAGCATTGATGTTTATATAGGCTTTAGGTCGCTTTTAGTAGACTCAATTTATTATTTTATCTATCGTATTTTCGTATCAATTTAACTCTTAAATTATTTAATTTATTACTATTTCGTATCACTTTTACACTTGGTTCGTGCCAAAATTAGAGATATGTGAATCTCATCTCTTTCCTGGATCAAAATGATAATTTTATATTTTATTATTAAAAATATCTATATAAATTAACTTTTTTTAAATAAAAATGCTTGGATATAGCAAATAGCCCAATTATTGGAAGTCAATCGTTTTTTTTTTCAATATCCCAAGTGGGTCGATTATTTAGGGTATTAGACCGACCCAACTTTTGTTTTGGAAAATAAGATAATTGCTACATTGCATTAGAGACTCGTCACGTCAAAGTGATAAATTTTCTCAGATATTATTTTTAAATGATCCTCGAGTAGTTGGACCATATAGGCCATTATTTTATTATCATTAATATGACTCGTCATGTAGAGGTGACGAGTCCATTAAAACTTATTTTTTAATTATTAAATAAAACTAAAATTAATTTCAAAAAGAAGAAGAAGACGGAACTCGCCACCTTGGCCGGAATTTTGAAAAAAAAACTAGTCATTTATAGTCGTTGAGGGTAATACTATAAATAGGGGTTTGGGGTTTTGGGTTTTTCACCAATCACTGAATATAAAGTAATTGTAAAAAAATCATACGTTCTGTAAAAATCTCAAAAAATGGCAACCCGAGAATATATGTTGCTCATGGATAACGTCCACGTTTCGTCAATCCAACGCGGGTCGGACAATAAATGGAATATTCGTAAGCACGGGATGACAAATGAAGAGTCGCATCAGCGGATGCTGATATATCTGCATCAATCCGGTCTATTTCCAGCCATATTTGTACGTGACTACAAGCTGTACCCAATGTTGATTGAGGCTCCGATCGAACGTTGGCGACCCGAGACGCACACGTTCCATTTCTCGAGTGGTGAAACGACGATTACTTTGGAAGGCGTCGCTTACCAACTTGGTGCACCTATGAATTGAGCCCTCGTGTGAGTTAGAAATTTTACGACCCCACGACGTTAGTCTACCAAGTTTTGGGAAAGTTGTCATCATCCGACGTTATCAAGGGCTATCGAGTACATATAACGTGGTTGGATCTGAATTCCAAGTGACGCGCATCCCGAGCATATCTTCTCTAACTAATCGAAGAGGTGTTATCACTGGATAAATATGATAATTTGGCGCATACTCAGTATATGCTATATTTGGAAGACTTCGATGTGTGTTGTGATACCAATTAGGGCTCGATAATTTTGGTCTTTCTGTACCGGGAGCTTTGCAAGGCTGCAAATGTCCAGCCGGGCCGCAAAGCCAATGTAACAGGCTGTTTGATACTGCTACAGTTGTGGGCTTAGTATCGATTCTAATTTTTTACGCCAATTACAACAACCTCGATCGAGTTTTCGTTGGCTACAAGGTAATTGTTTAACTTCATTTATTTAACCATTTTTTAATTTCATAAATTTAATTATTTTTTATTTGTTTTAATTTTTTAAAATATAAATAAATATATTTTTCTTTTAATTTTAGTTTAGTTTTTAAAATTTTATCTGGACAAACTCGCGATGACGAGTTTCAAGTGACAATTGCTGATCGTTGCCCGTCTACCCGTTGACCAACGACTATAAAACTCGAGATGACGAGTTCCATCTATTTTTTTGAAATTAATTTTAGTTTTATTTTGTAATTTAAAAAATATTAATAACAATAAAATAATGATTCACGTGGGATTCACTACTCAGGGAGCATTTAAAATTAAAATTCATGAAAACTCGTAACCTCAACTTGAAGAATCTCTAGTGCATTGTAGTAATTGTCGTATTTCTTAAAATAAAAATTAAACCGGCCTAATACCGTAAATAATTGACCCGGGTATGGGGAAAAAGCCGAAGTCAATCCAAGATAGAAAAATATTATCCAAAGCTGGACTCGTTGGCCTAGAGATGAGCCGATCATTTTCACAGGTCTATGGACTTGGCGTGTGATCACCAAAACGGCGCGTGATGTAGAACAACTTCATCGATCTATACACGAGAAAGTTAGGGTTCATGGCTATGGGTACACTTAACCCTCACAACACAAAAAAAAGAAGAAGAAAAATCCCCTTCTCTCATCTCGTAATCTGATTTTTTCCTTCGAGTTTTAATCAGATCATAAGGAAAATTACTGAAATTTTCCAGCAAAAAAAAGCCCTCCCATATACAAAAATGGACGCGTATCAGCAGCAACAACAGCAGCCTCACCGCTACATTCGACCGCCTCAGCCGCCGCAGCAGCAACAACCACCTGTTCCGGCTGATCCCTTCCTCCAACAACAACATTATTACCAGTACCAGCCACCGCCGCAGCCGCTTCCTCCGAGAGCTGCTGCTCCTCCGCCCCCGGGGTATTGGTACTCCAAATCAATTTCAGTACCAGCAGCAGCAGCATCATAATCAGTCTCATTCTGCGCCACCGCACCATCCTCCTACTCATCCTCCTTCCCCTCAGCAACCGCCTTACCAGTGGGGTCCGCCTACGCATCCCGATCATTCCGTTTATACCGCCTCCTTCTCTTCCTTTTCCCCGGCCCCTCATAACGGAAGTAACCACTTCCCTCCACCCCGCCTCCTCCCGTTCATAGACCTTACATGCCTCCTTCGCAGATTCCCAATACTTTCTCTCCACGTCAGTCAGGTTAATTCCAACTTTTTTATGTTATTTTTGTCTATTTTTTATTTATAATCCTAAGTAAATTACTGCTGTTTGGGTTCATTTCATCCACTGACTTTTTTTGCTCTTTTTTTTAATTCTATAGGAATGGAGCAACACAAACTGGTCTCATCACCAAGGTGGGTATTTATCAGGTTTTCTGATTTCATTCCCCACGATATTTAGCTTTTCATCGTCTTCAATGGAGTTATATTATTATTTCCATGTGTAGGACTGCAAACTGCTCCTTGTAAATGTTAATATGGGCATTTTCTGAAACATTTCTATCCTATACATGCAAGAGTATATAACTATATATTTGGCGTGTGTTAATTTAATACTTATACGCCCACTTTGAAGCTCAAAGGCTCTGCAAACTTCTTACATTGATGTTAACGCTGTATGTCTGTTATTGTAAATTGTAATTAAGGTGATAGATGGATGGAATGACTAAGGCTTCATTTCAATGGATGCTATTGCACCTCATTGTTTATGGTAAAATGGAACGGGAACCAACTGTTGTTACTCATAGGAATGTATTTCTTATTACCATAATGGCAATTGTTCTAGTGGTCAGCTGTTGTTTATCCATATAATTTAAGTTATGTATGATCTGAACTTTTGTGTTGATACCTATACAAGCCACATGCCCTGATTATCAAAGTTAATCTGAACCTGTGCTTTTCTCATAGTATGTTGGTGTTAATGGGTTTCTTGTGTAATGATTTTTTGGTGCCAGCCCAAAACAACGTGGAGGATTGGGGAGCCAAAGCTAGAATGGGCAAACACTAGGGCTGCAATGCAGGACCAGCCGTGCAATCTCAATTATTCCAGCTGGCAGGCCAGAAGAGCAAAATCATTTTCATGATCTATATTCACAAGCTGTTGATTCTCATTATATGGATGCTCAACAGTCACTACCAATTTCTAGCTATCAGCAGTTCCCTGTTCCATCAGCATCTCCTCATGGCCCTCCAGCAACTTATCCAAGTGAGACTTTGTCTAACAGCTCCAGACCGTCTTCATATATTCCTGATGCTTGTCCGCCTTACCATGTTAGAGATGGAACTTCTCTTATGGATCCGAACAGTGGATTTCTTCACCAAGAAAGTTTGTCTGCCAGTTCATCTGTTCATCTGCAGGAGGTACCTTCTAGTTATTCTTCAGTTTCAGGTAATAATTTCACCTAGTAAATTGAACTTTCTTGTGCAGCTTGTGCTGAAGAACTGCTTCTTTAGACCACATTTCTACACATCCTTTTTGTGTTGAAAAAATATCATTCTGGAACCCATTCGTTAAAGATATCTATTTCTCCATTCTATGTTTTTGAATAGTTTTTTTGGTACTTCTAAACAGGAACTCTTAAGCAACTATCATTCAGAAAAACTCATGATGTGTAGGGTGTGTAGCCTAACTAAAATGATAACGTGACAGACTGGAATATGTATAAACTGAAAGGGTCTGACCCTAGTTCTTTGTACCTTTTCTTTTAAAATTGTGTTCACACTTTTTTCCTTTTATTATTATTTTTAAAATGCTTTTGGTTCAGTAATATGTAGTTAATTCACCTAAGATTGGACCATCACATAATGTTATTCTTTTCTCAAAGATGGTAAAGAGTCGTTCCTTTCATTCGTTTTTAATTATTATTTCTTGGATGCTTTGGTGCCCCAAATTTCCGTCCTTACCATGACTACAATGTCCACAAAGATTCAGTTCAGAAATAGCTATTTGAAAGCATACTTGGTTCTTTGTGTGATGCTTTTGTGTTGTGATACACACTTTTAATGGTCAACCTAATGTCTTTGTTTGCCATATGAGAAAAATAAACTTGGCAAGTAATAGTTATTGTGGATTTAACTCCCTAGTATGGTTGATTCTTACCAGTCCACGCTGGCTATATTGGATGTTATCTGGACTGTTGTAACATATTCTAAGTTTTTATATGGATATTGTTGGGGAAAGAATTTGATGGCATGGCAACGTTGTCTGGAATTACTTTCTTTTTTTGGACTTTTAGCTATTAAATTAGATAACATATATGCTAAGACTTTTAACTATTAAATTAGTAACATATATGCTAAATTATGTCAAGACATTACAGTCCACCCCCCTTTCCCCCCCCTCCTCACATAGGTACTATATCTGTTGGAGTTATTCAATAACATTTTGTGTTATGGAACATGTCAAAAAGTTTCATTTGTTTTCATCATCATTACTTGTTCACATATCTAGCTAAAGTATCATGAGTTATACCAGCTACTTAGAAGTGCCTAGAAATGGCATTTCTTTAACATTTGGAAATGTTCGAATTACTTAATTAGCTCTTACATTCTTTTAATGGGTCTGTTATATTTTTGCTGCTTGACTTTCTATCAAATTAGCAAACCACAAGCTGAGCATTGTGCAATATATCAAACTATATGAACAGAAAGATTTGTTAATAGTTGCACAAGAATGCAAATGTTTTGTTGGTAATATATCTCCATCACAGTAAGGTTACTTATCGTGTGCTGAATACTTTAATATGATAAATGGAGGCTTCAATTCGAAAATCAAATGGCAACTTATATGTAAATGCTGTAAGATAAAAGGAAGTTAAGTAATTGAGTGGTAATGTGAGGGTAGTAGTAAAGTGTAGTGGAAATTCATATGCAATGAATATTTACAAGCATGCCTCCTGATATGAGTTTTTTTTTTTGATAGGAATAGTAGGCCTCACTAAAAACCCCCTTCATGATTAACGGAACTTGAAAATAGTTCCTTAATCAGCGGAAGGAGGAAAAGAGTGCCCTAGGAGTTCATTAATCTTAAAACATTACAAAGTAATACAATGTCTAATCTCCCTCCAGAGATAAAAAGCCAAAAAGAACCAGCCCTTAATAGAACATAATACTCAACCAATACCAGACTTAGCTAGAACATCCGCCTCTATATTGGCTGTTCTACTAACCCATCTAATAAGACCTTCATAAACACTAAGCTTTTGAATAATTTCCTTAACAACTTGAACATAAACGACAGGACAAGAACCAACATCCTTGACCCAACCAATTGCCACCTTACTATCACTCTCGATAATCAATCTCTCTTTAAATTTGTGGCGAATAGATTCATAATAAAATAACCCCTTTAGGATAGCTTTCAATTCCATCAAAGTTGGAGGTCCCGGACCAGCAGGGTCTTTGAAGGAGCCGAGAATCGAACCAGAACTATCTTTCAGAACGCCACCTAAACCACTCCTCTTCCAATCACTAGAAGTAGCCGCATCCACATTAAGTTTAATAAAACCTTCTGGAGGAGGGGACCAAGGAACCTTAGATGAAATCCGATTAGTATAAGACGAGCAAGAATCCACTAAGGACGGGTCGGCAATAAGAGCATCCTTGGAAATAGAAATCTGAGTTCCCTAGCTAGAAACCATGAAGCAAGCCTGCACCTAGCTAGATAGAATATTTCTGCTCGATCAAACTTCCCTCCTTCAAACACTATATAATTCCTAGTTTTCCATATTGTCCATAAGACCACTCCAGGGATAAATGACACATCAGAGAGTTGGTCTTTAGGTTAGTCCATGCTACTAGGAATTTTTTTGCATCTTCATGAAAACAGACTGAAAATTCCAATAACCCATGAATTTAGTCCATATTGGCCAAACAACCGAACATGAAAAAATAGATGAGATGAAGACTCTTCTTCTAGATTACAAAAAGGACACATAGAATCATTTATGCCCTGAACACCTCTTACCAGAGCTGTCTTCACTGCCAGCTTCTTTAAGATAACTTGCCAAAGAAAAGTCTCCACTCTTGGAGGCAGCATGCCCCTCCAAACAATAGATTTCCAAAATTAGCTTCCTCCAAATCAGAAATACCCGAATAATATAGATTGGCACATGATTTAACATTGAAAACCCCTTCTCCATTCCCCTTCCACAACAGTCCATCAACCGCATCAGTAGAAACAGAAAATTCTGAAATAACAGCCATCAAGTTTAACCATTGTTCAAATTCCCAGTCATTCAACTCCCTTCTCAACTGGACGTTCCAAAACCAGCCCCCAGAACTGTAATCCCCAAACTGAAATAATCTTCCAGTTTTGTTCACTGCAATAGAGAATAGTCTAGGGAACATGACCCTCAAAGGATGATCCAATGCCCAATTGTCTTGCCAAAACCGAATATTCCTCCCATTGCCAATTTTGTAGCTATAATTGCTTCTGATACTACAGCCCATCGAATCAGCTTTAAAATGATTATTCACCAAAGATCTCCATATCCAAGAAGATTTAGGAGAAACCTTACTATCAAGCTGCATCAATGAAGAATCCAATTTGTATTTAGTGCAAATCATTTCCCTCCAAACTGCCTTCCTCTCCATAGCAAACCTCCAAGCCCACTTTTCCAATAAAGCCCTATTCATCGTTTTAAATTAGGAACTCCCAAGCCTCCTTCAATTTTTGGTTTACAAACGTTGGACCAGCTTACCCAATGGATTTTCTTTCTCCCACCTCCTCCACCCCATAAAAAATTTGACATAGAGTTTAGGGTCTTGTATACTGAAGCTGGTACCTTAAATAATGACAATAGTATATAGGAAGTGAACATAGACTGATTTAATCAAAACCAGCCTGCCGCCAGTGACAAAGAAGAGCCTTTCCAGCCTAACCTCTTATTGAAGCTTTGAACCACTGGATCCCACAGAATGTTAGAGTTCCTGTGTGGACCAAGAGGGAGTCCCAAATATTCAGAGGGAAAATAACCCACTGAACATCCAATCGTAGCTGCCCAATCCTTAATTTCCTCTTCCCTTAAATTCACCCCAAACAATTTGCACTTCTTCAAGTTCAACTGAAGTCCAGAAATAATCTCAAACACTCGAAGCACCCTCTTCACATTCAAGATCTGTTTTTTCGACGCACCACAGAATATTATAAGGTCGTCAGCAAATTGTAGATGTGTTAAATTAAAATTCTTCTCCCCATTTGTAATCATCAAACTCGAAAAGAGACCCCCTGAAACAGCTTTAAGTATCAATAAATTCAATAGTTCCCCAACTATATTAAACAACAACGGAGACAACGAACAGCCTTGACGAAGACCCTTAGCCATTGGGATTTCCTCGGTTGGAACCCCATTCACCAAGACTGAAACAGTGCTGAAGTGATGCACTTCGAAATCCACCCTATCCATCTAGAACCAAATCCCATTTCCTTCATAATTCTGAACAAAATAGGCCAGTCAAGAGTATCATGCCTTCTTGAAATCAGCTTTAAAAACACATCCTTTTAAACCATTCTTCTTCCAAAAGTCAATCCCTTCATTGGCTATAAGGGAACAATCCAAGATTTGTCGACCGGGAATAAAAGCGAATTGACATGGACTGATCAAATCTGAAATGCAGCTCCTAAGTCTCCTTGACAGACATTTAGAGAGGATCTTGTACAAACCACCACAAGCTAATAGGTCTAAAATCGTCCAACCACCAATGTTTGAAATTTTCGGAATAAGAGTGATGAAAGTGTGATTTATTCCATGTTCCCAATCCTTCCCAAGTAAAACTTCTTAAAGAAGGTCATAATATCTTCCTTAAGTACCTGCCAAACCTCTTGAAAAAACCCATATTAAAGCCATCGGGACCGGAGCTTTGTTACTTCCACAAGACTTCACAACATCCCAAACTTCCTCCTCTGAAATTCCTGCTTAAGAACTGATTCTGCTCCAAAGAAATTTGGAAAAATCCAGATTTAATTCATCAATTTCTAGAGTAGATCGGTTATTGTAGATCTTAAAAAAATAATCCTTCACAATGTCCTTAATAGCAATTGGGTCTTCAACTATTTCTCCTCTAAAATTAAGTGCCACCAGTGCATTCCTCTTCTTCCTAACCGTAGCACAGGAATGGAAGTATTTAGTGTTGCGATCCCCGTCTTCAATCCATTTAGATCTCGAATACTGAAACCAAATCTGCTCTTGGATCTTGTGCAGCTTCCACAATTCTGCTCTACAATTATTCAACTCAGTTAATACCTCACTATCGACAGCACCCTGCTTTTGTTGAATATCTCTATCTTCGAAATTTTCTTCTCTAACTCAGAAATCAAGTCTCCTGGATACTTACTCTGTTTCCAGACCACTTTTTAATTGCATGTTTGGCACTCCTTAAAAGACTAAAAGCACCTGCCTTCTTCTGACTTTTCTTAGAACTCTGAATAGAAGAAATAACCATATCCTCAAAACCCTCCTCATCCATCAAATAGTTGAACATTCTAAACGGTTTTTGACCCAGTCCACTCCTTTATTCACAAGAATTATGGCATTGTGACAATGATCTTGGTAGAAGAGACTGTGAATGTCCGAAATAACGCTAGAAATTGACTGTCAACCAAAAAACGATCTAATCTTACAAACGTGGGATTCTCTTGGTTATTACACCAAGTGAACCTTCCCCCATTCAAAGGAAGATCAATTAAGCCCGTATGAAGAATGAAGTCATTAAAGATCTCCATTGAGCTCCTACTTTGGCCTCTGCCCATCTTCTCA